CACACACACACACACACACACACACACACCTACACACACACACACACACACACACACACACACACGCACGCACATACATTCTCCTGTCTATTGATGGGGAGCGCCACCTGCTGGAAACTAGGTCCAGCGTCCCATGAACATCGTGAATAAAGCACCAACCGGCACCCCCCCCACACACACTCTTCGAGTTGTGTATAGCGAACATGACAAAACATACATACAACATAATCACTACCTTACCTTCCCGAAGCGCATAAACAAACGAACTACGGGCTGCGCACCCGTGCCCTCACGGTAAGTCAATAAACTATACTATTCGCTGGCATGTGGGCCGAGGCCCCCGGTATAACGAAGGACGACGGAGGTGTCTTGGGAAGGAAATGTCTCAGGGGGGAAAACGCACCCCTGACGGCCTGCGAATGCGAACGATCTCCTTTCTTTCCACGTCTACCGTAGCTTCGGAAGTCCGTGTGGGGCTTCAGCCTCATTTTTGGCTGGGACCAGACCTAGCGCAGCGCTGCCAAGCCGCAGCCCGCCACCGTCCCTTCACCTCCACGGTGTGACCAGGATCCCGCTTCGCCTGTTGGCGCAGAGTTATCAACGGCCCGCTTTTTGGCTGGCTGTGGTTCCGTTTTTCCCATTCCCATTTTCCCGCTCGTTTTTAAGGGACGTACGGTTTTTTTCCCGCGCGCACTTGATGTGCGTTTTCAGCTGTAGTGAGATGGGCGGGTCCTGTCCTCCAGCGCTGTTGCTTTCAGGCTGTTTTTCCTTTCAGGGTCTAACAGCATCCATCACAGCCTGCCGCACCGCCCTGCGCCTGGAATTTTTTCCATGTTTCGCGTCACGGGTGATGCACGCCGCTGTGAGCGTAATTACGCGGGATAGCACTGCCGTCCGCCCGCCCCCCCTCTCTTCAGTCCCTCCCTCTTTTTCTTTTTCTTTTTTTTTTGAAGTTTCATTTCAATCGCCTCTTCGTTTTGAGCCAGGAGCGAATTTTTTTTTCTCGTCCAGTTACGAAAGTATTGCAGACGAGAAGATCGGAACGACGAAGGCGTTGACGTCACCATTCGAAGAAGTTCAGTCACGACATTGCACACCGCGGGCAATCACGTCCAGTTTTCGTCGTCGCCAGCGTTTATCGTTTCTCTATACGCTCTGAGCCCCGTCTAGTTGAATTGTCTTCTTCTACTGCCTTCTACTCTCTTCTACTGTCTCTTACTGTCTTCTGCTGTCTTCGACGGTCGTGAATTGACTTCCGAGGTCGGTCAAGAAGTTGTATATATTGCACGAAAACGGCAACTCCGTGAGCAGGCAGTCAATGAGACGGGACGGCTGATTGTTCCATCATCACTTGTGGATTGACGTTCGTGAGCTGGCACGAACTATGGTAGCGCGCGCTGCGAAGCTGGAGTAAGTTCTAGTAACTTGTACGAACACTAGAAATCTGCGCGCTGGAAGAGAGGTACGGGATGTATCAGACGGGTGTGGGTGGAACGCCAATCAGCTCCTGTACTGACTTCTGACTCAAAACGCGGGTTGGGATATTAATGAATGACGTATGTCTCACGAAGGCTAAGTTCGGTTTGCCCCCTCGAGGAGCTGGTTTTCGCCAAGACGCGGTACTAGGCAATCGTTGCCGACAGTCGAAGCAGCACGTGTTTGACACACAGCTGGTGCAGTGATGACTTACCAGCTGATCAGCCAGGCGGGGAGCGTAGTCAGCAAGAGCGACTCAGTCTGTACCGACCTGCTCGGTTTTAATTACGTTAATGCTGTGGGAACTGGAGTTGGAGTTGTCACCGCTTGTACTCTTTTCATCATCTTTGTCTGATTCTTTCTCTAGCAACCTTTCTTGCGGCTTCCGTTTGCTTCCTCTTCTTCATCTCGCTCTTTGAGCGCAATCCTCCGTCTCTTTTCTTGCCATACCCATTTCTATGAGGGATGATCGTTCTCATCAATCTTCCTCCAATCCTGAGCTCGGGCGATTAGGTGACTCAGAGAGAGAGAGTGCGATCCGTCCATCTGCGTGAAGTCAGAACGATACACGCAGGGCACACGTGGGCGACCTGGTTGTGAGCGCAGCCGCGTGCATTCTGTACAGGTGTCGCGTGTGCGCGGATGCCATCAGGAGGTGTCCTCTTCTGTATATGGAGGGCGGCGCTGAAGTAGAAGGAAGAAGAATCGCGAGACAACGTGATCTGGTAATGTGGGTAAGGAAGAGACAGGACGAGGCAGCGAAGACGGAAAGCGGGGCGAAATTGACACGTGGTGGATTAGGCAGGTATGTGCGGGTGCAAGGTCGGGATAGTCTTGACTTGCTGCCCTCTGTAGGCTGAAGAGTGATAGATCTATGGGGCCGCTGTTATGTTAATGCCTGCCAAGGGGAGAGCTTGCGACGGTGGCTTACGAAGCAGGAAGTAGTATCTGTTTGTTCGATTAGCTGCGAAGGCGGAGAGGAGGCGAATAGAGAAGCTCTTGCGCCGCCGAGTTGGAAGAGACAGCTTTTGCCAGAGAAACAAAGGAGCGGGGAGGAACCTGCTCAGCACAGTGGCAGCGGAGGAGGAAAGCAGGAAGAGCAGAGAAACAATTTGAAGCAGCGGAGTCCTGCAGAGCAGCTGGTCCTTGTTCCCTGCGTTTCGCGCAAGAACCACCATCAACCTGTTTTGACCATTCAATTCGGCAGTTGAGGTCAATTTGAGCGATTTATCACGTGGCGCAAGCTTAGCGCGTGGTCAATCGGATCGCGTTGTTGCGAAGAGATGATGACGAAGTCCTTCGCCTCCGCGTTCGTTATAGCTGAAAAGGTAACGAGCCAAGGTGGCCTGCAGGTTCGTTGTCAGCGGCGGACCTTTGTTCTTCTACTGGTCTCCCTTGTTCTCTTCGGGGCAACTAACAGAAACACTGCTGCGGCAGCTCTCACTGACGGACAGGTAGCAGCTCAAAGGACCGCAGCGTCACCGTTGAGTCCCAGTGCTTCTGACGAAGACGCAATCGACATCAGCATCAGCAGCAGCATCAGCAGCAGCAGCCTTTCTCCTCAGCAGAAGGGCAAGGAGGAGGTATTGGCGGCGCAGGATGATGAGGAGGAGCTGAAGGCGACAAAGAGGGGCTTGGTTCGACCTCGACTCGACCACGATACCGCTTCCCTGCCGCCGCCATTGTTAACGCCATCGCCGTTTGCTTCTGGGCGACAGCCCACGATCGACGCGTCTGGAGCTGCTGTCGCTGCTCCTGCAATCGAGGGCAGAGATAACTCCTCGGCATTTTCTGAGGAGAAGGGACGGCCGCCTCCACTGACACCAGAAGTGACGCCTCAGGAAGGGGGAAATGAAGCGGGACCGTTGATGCCACAGCCTCCAGTAGATGAACTAGACGGCTCCGACTCCTCGTTCTCCAAACTGCAGCGGCAGTCCACGGTCGAGTCCCAAGCCGACGAAGGAGAAGCAACGACACCAGCTTCGCCACCTCATCTTTCTTATCCCACACTTGCTGGTCATCATGCTGGCAATACCCAGATTTCAGTACCAAGCATACTGGACAGCACCGATATCGCCGCCATCGCCAACACTGTGTGGAGTGCAGCGGAGTCCGCTACTTTCGGGGGCGATTCCCTGGACTCGTCGACTTTCCAAGAAGAAGGAGAAGCAGAAAAGGTTCAACCGTCTGTGGGGGCACCATCGCCACCCCTCACAGCCGACGTCCCCACGTCCCATGCTGCGCCGCCTTTCGGCTTGGAAGGCAGCAATTTGCAAGATGGGACGGTTGTTGGGCAGCTATCCCAAACGCCTCTCCCTGTTCTTCCGTCATTGGTCCCAGGATCGGGCCCCGCCGAGGGCGTGGACTTGCAGATCCCGGAAATCGCAGAGGTCTCGACCGAGACTATACCACCACTCGCCGTGCTTCCATCTGACGACGTCTGGACAGAGTCTGAGGGGATCTCGTTGGACAAGGGGCAGCCATCGGAGTCCGCTGAGGGGAGGGTCGTGGCCGAACCGCCGTCGAAATCTCCGAGTGCGAGCAGGAAGAGCTTAGGATGGCCATCCCCATCCCCATCGCCATCGCCATCGCCATCGCCAGCTACGGTGGTAGCAGCACGTAACCGGTCTTCCCTTCCTGAAAGGGGGCTTCAGGGGCAATTATTGAAGCTTCGAGAAATCGCCCTGGGAAAGCTTGTGCCTATTAGAGACAGCCTACAGCCATTTCGCTCGCCTTCTTCATCATCGTCTTCGTCATCGTCTCCATCTTCCTCTTCATCTTCCTCTTCATCTTCCTCTTCATCGTCGTCATCGTCCAAGTTCGAGGGGGTAAGCGCCCAGCCTGCTCCTTTCGACTTTGACCTGGACCAGGACCTGAATCTTGACCTGCAGGAGCCGCCGCCGAAGCTCGCCTTTTCCCCGTATAAGTCAACAGGAGACCGAGAAGTGGGAGAAGTGGGAGAAGTGGGCTCTGCTTCTCCGGGCAGCTCCCCAAGCCCCGGACTCAGCAGCACTGCCGGGGCCAATCTAGAGGATTCCGAGCTGGCCCTGCGGAGGAGCAACTCGTCAAACCCCGGGGAAACACACGAGCAACCTATGCCTGTAGTTGCAGCGCAGGCGAGTCTACAGCCTGGGGTTCACCTGCAGGACTTTCCCGTCGACAATAATTATGTGGCAACTGCTCGATCAGTTGCCACGGCGAAGGCTCTGGAATCTCTGGGCATGTCAAGTACGGCAGGTGGTGGCGGCGCCGAGGCAAGTCGCCCTCTCCCTTGGGAGATCATCGGAGCCGATGGGGCACCTGCCCCTCAAAGCAGAGGGATAGAATCTGTTTCGATCCCTTACCAACCTTATATGATTCTTCCTCCTCCTCCGCCTCCTCCTCCTCCTCCTCCCTCAGCCTCTCCTTCACTTGAAAGCCAGCTATCCCCAGCTCCCGCGATCACCGTGGTGGAAAAAACCAGGACGTGGGTATCCTCACTATCACCACACAGCCATCCCGTGGATCCTTTGCCTTCACTGTCGCCATCGCCGTCGCCAGTTTTCCGGTCCGTGCCTCCTTCTCGCAGTCCGCAATACACGAATGTTCTCCCACCCTCTTCGGAACCCCCTACAGGCTTTCATATTGCCAGGCCATTGCCCTTGGTCGGGGTCGCTAAGGTCGCCTTGCCGCCTTCCCTGTCTTCACGTGAGGAGGAGGACAGTGCATCGTCTCTCTCTCAGCCTAGGCAGCGTCATTCCTCCTCCCCCCCTCCTTCCACTGCCTTTAAATCGTCGCGCGCTTCCTCCTCCCCTCTGCCCTCCCCCAATTCCCTGCCAACCACCCTCTCCTCCGGTACTCCCGCGTCCCTTCAGAAACCGCTGCACGTTAGGAACGTGAACGGCTCTGCAGGAATTGCCCCTTCTGGATCGCCGAACTCATGGTCGATAGAAAGTGCAGCCCCGCCGTCCGTCTCCCATGTCTCTGTCGCACAGGCCACCACCGTACCCTTACTGAGCTTGCTCGATGGCGCGACAGCATACGCAAACTTCGTCGAAGCCGCATTGACGACCCGTGGCGCGACCGTCAGCATCCTTCTAGACGACTCCAACGTCACGGTTTTTGCTCCTATCAACTCCGCATTTGACAAGCTCGGTTCTTCGCTGGTTGACTGCCTGCTCTCCGACAGGTATGTGCGTCGCATCCCTCCCCCC